AAATATTTTTGTAACAAAAACAGCTTTTGATTTGGATGGGTCATGCAGTAGAGTATTTCCCGTTAATTTCACTTATCATAACGAGCATAGTTGCTGGGAGATTACCTTCGATTCAGTATGGGTTGCCTTGAATACAAATCAAGGAGGTTAGGGAGGAGATTTATAACAAGATTCAGGGCTAAAAATTGGCGGTCGCACGGTCGCTAGTGGCGAGTGAAAACTGACTAGGGCTACCAAAAATTAAAGTTTGAACTCCCGATGTGCGACTATGCTACAGAATTTCGAAAAGTTGCACTGTAAATTATGCGAAGTACAAAGTTAAAAATAAAACTCAATATGTAGTTTTTAAAATTGGATTACCTTTCTCTTCTTTGCCTGGACTCTAAGATCATCCATTTTAGCGAGTTTTTTAGTTCTGAAGTGGAAATTCCTAGCCGTTTTAACAGTGATTTCACGAGCTTGTTCTTTCCTTTTAGTTAACGCTCCTTTTAAAGTCATGGGGCGTTTATTCAAGTTTTTAATTTTAAACTAGAGGAAATCTAGGACTACTTAATTTTGGGATGGGCCACTAAGAATTCAGGGAAACTGGCCCGACTTGCCACCCGGCACTGCAGTTAATTTTTAGCCCTGAAGATTGTGAGTTATCACTGGTTAATTGGAGTTCCAAATAATGGTATTCCACTTGTATAAATTCAATCAATAGGCAGTTCTAGCAAATAGCAAATTATCATTTATGACTAGACTGTAATCGGTAGGCAGACGAAGGCCATGCCTCAGCAATTTTATGACCGTTTTGATACTTAGCAAAATATTTAGAAAATACCAAACTGACTCCAAGGACGAGAAGGATAATTAAGAAGAAGGTTTACCGTAATCATTACTTTTCCTGCAGACCCAGTTTTTTTTTTTTACTAGCATGGCGCATGAGCCTCTTTCATCAAGACTGTGCAGAAATTCTAAAGATAGGATGTGGTCTACGAATCAATTCCAAAATTCAAGACAGTCATAAGAACGATTAGTTACCTATCACCGATCGATGCTACGGTTATAAGAGCTATCTGTTTTGACTAGAATTCCTGTTTCAGTACTTATCTGTGCACTAAATAATTAGGAGAAAAAATCCGGCTTCGACCAGTGTTTCGTGCGCCCAACAGCATGTCTATTTTTTTTTTTTTCCTTTTCAAGAATAGTAGTTCAAATGCTACACGGTACGCATGTTTTCTGCTGAAGCAATGGGCCATTCCCGAAATTACAAAATCTGCTTTAAAAAGTGGCTTAAAACTATTGATTTTGTTTATTCTCAAGCAGATTTATCGCATTTATACAAGAGAAGCCTCGCATTTAGCCTCAACTTCAACATGAGGAGTTTCAGAGCCTTTAGAGATCCACTTAACGGACTACGTTCATTAGACGCTGCGGTCGAAGGTGATTCTCCGTAACAAGTTAAACTGGCCGTGGTATTTTCAATATGTCGCTAGTCTCCCCTCTTGTTTTTTCCTTTGGAACCAGACTTCCCTTTACCATTTTTCTTCCCTCCCTTTCTCTTTTTTTCCTTTCTTTTATCCTTCTTATTTTTTCGTTTCCTGCACGCCTTTTTGTATTTTAGCTTTAGAGGCTTTTGCTCGTTTCTCCTTGCAAGACACTTTGTGATCCGGAAGACGCACAAGTTAGGGTACGTTTTCCCGTCCGACCCACACACGGGTTTCCTCACAATTTTGCAGTCCTCCCATCTAGGGCAAGGCTTTGGGGTGGTCGGCGAACTGCAAGGTCCATTATACTGCAACTGAAGAGAGTTCCTGTTTTTCTTGGGCAGTGCACATTTGGCAATGGATAGAAGACAGCTGTTTTCGTACGTCTTATTATCTGTGCCACACACGGGTCGATATTTAGTTGGACACTTTTTTGGACACGATTTGGAAGGTTTCCGTTTGCCACACGCCCCTGAAAGAAATGTTGGAAATAGCTTGCATTAAACAGAGATCCAACATCAAGAATTTCCTGAACTAACTGAACATCTCCTTAATTATAACGCTACGGAGTTTACATCGCGTAATTCTTAAGCAACTATTGTGTGCAAGATATTTACTTAGATCATGCCCTGGTTGATAAGGAAAATGCAATAATTCAGTAATCTCTTAATTCGGTTTCCGTTTCCTTGTCCAACAAACGAGAAATATACTGTTCGTGACAAGGAAAGGGAATAAACCACTTTGAAAAAGTGCCGCTTTTCCAATTATCCTTTCAAACAACAATAAATTAATGTGCCCTATTGCTGATAAGTTCTGCCAAAATTAGCTTATAAAAATCCGTGCCAAAACTCAACCATGAATAAAAGGAACTGAAACTTAGTAATTTTAAGAAAAAAAATACTTGCCAAGAGGCAAGCAATGATTTCCCTTGACTATTTTCTTTCAATAAGCTTTCCCCATCTTCCTTTTAGGTCTATACAGCTGCAGTCAATCCTGTTTTGAGTGGACCCTCGTTCGTGTCCGCAATTATATATGGTAGCGCGAACAAAATACGTATAGGAGCATTTCAAGGATAATCCCAATATGTAATTGACACTTTTGTAAGCTTTATAGTTGGATAATGGGTCTATAATGACTTTTGCTGGCAGAAATTATTAGATTATTACCAACCAACTGAGGGGGGCTTCAAACGAACAAAGAGTTCAATTCTGCCATCAATGCACAGTATATACCGCGAGGAAAATGAACAGCTGATTTCAATTCAATTCGTATTTTTACAACCGCACAATGCACATTTTCACAACCGCACAATGCACATTTTCGCAACCGCACAATTCGTATTTTCACAACCGCGCAATTCGCATTTTCACAACCGCACAATGCGCATTTTCACAACCGCACAATGCACATTTTCACAACCGGTGAGTGATAGGATCCCAAAGTTTACCAAAACAACAGTGGTGGTGTATCTGTCTACCATGATTTCCGTACGTGATTGTAGGTCAGAGAGGTCACGATAGATCAAAACCAAAGTCTCTTGTATGTAAACTTTAGTAGAACTTCTGCAAAACATATGTTTATATTTTTTTTTCGTTTTGGAAGAAATTACCGAGATTAGTGAAGAATCGTTGTTGTGACTTCACTTTCATGCCGGAAAAAAAGGGGAAAGTCTTTATTAAAGGGGCTCTATCTATAAAAACCTTGCAAACATAAATGTTGCTTGTATTTCAGCACATCATAGGAATTAATAAAAAAGCTTTGAAAATAAGACAGTCTACCCCAGATGAGTGTTTCATATTATTTTACAAATTCCCGAAGATTATTTTCAAGAGGTTAAGATATTAAGGTAGAATATTTAATAGGAAGCCATCAGTAAGATGTTTACGCGTGAGTAAAGAGAATATTCAGGAATAAAACGAGTGATCGCAGCAAACGGGGTGAAATTTCTGGTAAATATTAACGAGAGAATAACAATGTCTATCTTGATCGTTAATCTATCTTGATCGGAAAAAAACTTTTGACACTTTTAGAAAATCGACGATGTGGAATGTCTTTTGTTATGATCGTCGTGTTACTTTTCGCAAGACAAGTAATCAATATGGAAAGTATCGTGTCGTTTTTCTTACACGCGACATATGTTTTACACATCATTTGATTGGCTATCAGTTACACAGACCAGCTTGGAAATGAAGACTTACTTCGTTGTCTGTTCAGTTGGAAATCTTCGTATGTATAAAATAAACATCTCTCCCGCATCGAGTAAACAAGATTTCAATGGAAATGATCCCATTTTGAGAGCGCTTTTGTTGATGGAATTAGTGTTTGGTTTCTGAAATTCAAAACGTTTGGCTTTGATTCTTGTGTTCATCCATGAACGCTGTAATAAAGGAGTTGTAAACAAACGCGAAAGAATGCCTAATAAATATTCCAGATCATATGGCGCTGTAGCATTTTTGAGATTTACTTGAAGCTTCTTTGGTTCTTCACGATTGTGTGCCTTGGAATTTAAAACATGAGTTTAACCGCTGCACTTTTAATATAACGCACAAATCACCGACAAAGGAGACAAGTGGAGAATGTTTCAACTGATATTTGACCTTGCTTTTAAAGAACTTTGACCTTATCATATAGCCGCTATTTAGGCCTGGACATTTTCCTTTAAATTTTCTTTCCCTCGCTGCCTTTAGTTGTGTGAAAAATTAAAAATTCATGCATGCTTACCTCTCTTCTTGATAGTCAACTTCTGGTTCTGCCGTTTAGCGATGCACTTTGAAACCCGAAAGAAACAAGGATTTCTGTAAGTCTTTTTGTCGCTGCCACAGACGGGCTGTTCTTTAATGTAACATTGGCCCAAATTCGGGCACACTCTTGTTTTTTTCTGCTTTTTACACTCCCCCTTATACAGCACCGTCAACCTGGTTTTGTTTTGCTTCGCTTCGCACCTCGCGACACGAAAGGAACAAAATGATTCATAAGTGGTATTGTCGCTTCCGCACATGGCTTGTTTCGTGGAGTTGCCATCCTGATCGCATTTGGGAAGTACTTTAGAGCAGCGGCAAGATCCGGTGTGCTCTACTGTCAGACTGACGCCAGTTTTATTGGCTTTACACCTTGCTTTGTTGAACAGACAAAAGTTCTTGTACGTTTTACCGTCGCTCCCACACAAAGATTTTTTCACTCTGAAGCCTTGGCATGATCGATTGCACGTTCTATCACGCCCTTTGGATTTTCTCTTTTTCGCTTCAATAACTGCAACTAAGAGATAAAATGTATGATGCTTAAGCCTATTTTCTGGATGGAAAAAAACCTTTAAGGACTTTTTCCTTTCTTTATAATATCAATAATCAGTGATAAGCGTACGAATGATAGCTCTCAGGAGTATAATTTGATTTAATTCCATATTCTCAGATTGTGAGTGGCAAGAAGGGATGGAAGAGAGTAACGAGAATTTCTATTGGGATCTTAAAAGTTAGGGGGTTGAAGGATCGTAGTTCATGCTCTTTTGCGCCACTTTTGCGATTTAGCAAATTTCCTCTAGAAAAGAAAGACAAACTTGGAAATCATGGTTTTTCTAAATAGGCAAGTACCAAAAGGTAAGATTTATCCCAAACACGACTGTGCAGGAATAAGGAAATTCGGACGAAGATGCGATTTAGAAAGAAAAAGCGTGAAGTTAAATTTTTCAAGAGTGAAAAACGTGACTTGAATTTCGTGTATAAGTCTTGGCCTGGCAACGCAATAAAAATATGGAAATCGAATCTGTAAACTCGTCACTGGATTTCCTCAACTCAGTCCAATCTTCATCACTTTAACTTCCACTACTTCAGTTGCGAAATTATTGATAAACCTAATCCGTTCGACTCAATTCGTAGCCGGAGCGTCACCCTCAGAATATTTTAGGATCATATGTCAGTCTCCTATAAGTTATGTTTAAAAGACTTTCTTAAATTTGCCTTATCGAAAGTGAAACATCATTTCATGCATTTAGTCACGTACCGATGTTATCCAATTTATCCAAATTCTTTTTGAAAAGAACACGCTAACAAAAATACTTCCTACCACAATTCTGGTGATAAAAAGGAAATGCGGGCGCAATGTTAACTTCTTTCAAATCTCAAAAAGCTGTAATAAGACTTTTATGTTGTTCTTTGAAAAGGCTTTCAGTAATGAGTAGAATTGTGTCATACTGATAACGTTCCTCATCCATGAGGATATTTGCAATGTTGAAATCTCTTTCATGAAAAAACGCTGTTTTTGTTATCATAATAATTTATTGCTCCGTAAAAGCCGTCGTTAGTGTCCCATGGATATGATGACAATCTGATTGAAATAAACCGCAAATGACTGTTTAAAACCAGAGGAATGTAATCCGCGTGGTAAGGTATGATGAAGATTACTTCTCGATTTGACACATATATCGCTCGAAAGAAAATTACAGAAGCCGCTTGAATCAAAACAGACACCTGTCGTCTTAATTAACTCGATAACTTAATTGAAACGTCTGGATTATTTAGCAGAAATGACAAACAGTTTCAAGGCATCGGAAAAGGATACATATTTAAACGGCCGAATTCCATTACTTCAAAACCTGACCTTTCCACTTTTCAGTCAGAAATACCACTTTCTCGACTAATTCCTTAGCGTCCAAACAGATAGCAAAGCGCTTAAATTGAACATAAACATAGCGTACTGTGCGCTTAAGATCTTAAGTTGACCGCCATGTTTCTCTTGGCTCTGGGCCCGAGGAGCAATCAGATTGTGAAAAGGTTCATATGTCTTATTGACCCAAAATGTCTTTTGAGTCTTAAAGAGACTTTTCAAACAACCAAAAGGGATAAGCCCTATGTATTTTTCTTTAGTCGGTCTTATACTGTTACTGATTCTTGCTGAAGGCATAAATCTTTCCGGGATAGAGAAGTAAACTTTACGTAATTTTCGCCGTTACACATAAAATTTTTCCAACGCTCTCTTCCCTTCAATCGGTTTGATAACTGCAAAGTATAAATTTATCGGCGCAGGGATCTTTTGCTTGAATCCTTCAATAACTCGGTGTTAGTGAATAATGTTTTAAAAAGAAATTGTCGTATTTCCTACCTGATATTAGCATCACAGCAACAAAAAAGACAAAAGTTTTCTTCATGATGAATTGAGGGCGTTCTTCACTGGCAGTCAAGCGATCGTGGTAAAGTGCCGACAAAAGGCCTGACGAACCGTCTCGCGTCGTGGCAGAATTCGAACTGATCCCTCGGTGATAAGAACTTACTTGTATATCCACTGATTACATGCCTGACCCCATACCCCTTGGTTTACAAGAGAGCTAAAGCTTTCATACCTTTCATTCACAACTCTTGAGATGCATCAGTGACAGAGGAGGGAAAAAATGTTTTAAAATGAGGGGGGTAGGGGGGTTGTTGCTGTCGGAAACCAAGCCTAGCACATTCCTTTACTCAAATTTCCCTGTGTCTTTTAAACATATTTAAAGCAGACCTCTCTTCCATCTTCAAAGAGTATTCAGTGCGTACATAATCGATTTTAGGCACTCAGAAGTGTTGGCGAGTATTACAACATATCATCTCGCTTGACATAATCCTTATGATATAATTTGCGAAAAAGAGTTACGGTAAAATACATTTTTCACAGAAAGTGAAAGAGTGAGCAACATTTTCTGTAACTAACTTGGGAGCCGTTGCCCTCCAAATTTTAGTTTCGGAATTAGGCAGCTCGTGCCTCCTTTGACCTCGTCACCCCAACTTCCTACTCCGCCGCATTTGTGACAGGATCAACCAGGATTATGCTCGCCTCTAGATCTTCTTAAAGACAATTCTAGGCTTCGTTTGACTTAAGACGACCATCGACTTACGTACCCTAAGAAGATCTACTGAAAATACTTTTATTTTTAATTCTTTTAAGAAACGACTTCACTAATATTAAGAGACCAAAAAATGTAGATTTTTCGTTTTTAAATGGTGGGAATTCAGACAACTTTTGGAATTAGGAAAACGCTGATCAACGTTCAATCAATGCACATTGGCATCATGAAAAACCCAATTTGATGTACGAATATGGGCGAATGTAGGGTACCTCTTCATACCGGAAGCTGCACCTCTGTCAATCATTCACCACTGGATTATCTGAAATAATCTGTACTCGAGTTTCATGTGCAACTTTTATGGATGATTGGCATCCAACGACGCTGAAAATGTTAATATCCATACAGTCTGTGCCTTGCGCTTTAAAAGTCATTGTTCTGGGTCTAATGAATCAGTCTCATTCAACACTTGACATTCTTGCCGATAATGCAGTAAGTTGTAGTAGATTTTGAGTTTTATCTATGACGCGCTCTTCAAGTTTTCCTCTCCCATAATCTTTCGCGGAGGCAAATCCATTTATCGTTGGACCGGTTCATTCTGTAGAGTTCAAAATGACTCATTACTGATCGTCAATGGAATAGCGTGAAGCTAAGGTACACTGAATATAAACAATCGAATTCAATGTACATGTGTATGACTTTTTTTTTGGTAACACTTCCGGTGTCACAAAACGTGACACAAAACTCGCGTATTCCCGTGATTCCTCAAAAAAGAAACATTGTAACTGTTTACCTCGTCCACTGATTGAAAATATTTTCGGACTGCATTCGTGCAAATTCGCCTGATTACGTGATTTTTGTGCGCAGTGCAGGATGCGCAATGCAATTCTGGCGAATGCTGCATTTCGGCGTTTCTGATAGAGAGGTCACGCGGCCGCTGTAAGCCAATCAAAATGGAAAAAAAAATACTGTTCTAACCTCCTGTACTCGCAAGAAACTCAACTACAACAGAGGCAAAGCTGCAATCTCGTGTAATTGACTGAGACTCTACAACACAAAGTGGTCTCCTATCTTAGAAATTGTATTTCTTGGCGCTTTCAATAGGCATGACTTAAAGTATGAAAATGACTCAATACGTTCTGCATTGAGTTTTTTTTTCTTTGAAGCAGTTTACCAATCATCACCTTATAGATGTTTATCTTAGGGTCAGAACAGCGATAGATCTTTGAAAATGTTCCCCCTCCCACGATCCTTGTGGATAAAAGTGCAATTTTAGGATAGAGCCTAAGTTTGTAAGATCCGGTGGGACAGCCAGTAACACAAAATAGACTAATTTAAATGTACTTTGCATTTCCCTTTTAGAGCAGGTATACTAAAGCTATCAAGAAAATCTCAAAGATCAAATCAGACAAAGTCCAACATAAAATTTGAAAAGAGCTGTTTTAGAAAATATCAAAGCTTTCCTCAAGAAAGAATATCGAATATTCCTTATTGGAAGATTTGTCTTTTCCTTTCTAAGGCACAAACTTCCTCTTTTAAAGCTTCAAAGTCACTTTCAAGAACACTTAATCTGCCACAAATGTTATCCTGAATATCTCGTCGTTCTTTGATTTCCTGATTCTTATTTTCCTCTAACTTGGACTATAACTCCACTTCCACTCTTAGCTCAGATTTGGATGACTCGAGTGCTTCACTTATCTGAAGCTGAACCTCTTAACTCAACGTGCCTCTCAAATCAGCAAAGGTTTTAGAGAAAGCCTTCACCTCTTGTAAAGAGTCGCCAAGACAATCAGGGACATCTAGACTCTCAAGACAAAAATCCGTTCCTGTGAAGATATGTTAAAAAGGAAGTTAGTCATCAACTGGTTGATGTAGAGTTTGCCAAGTATAAGTTAAGAGCACTTCATAGATGACGAAGCCACACATAACGATAAACTTCACTTTTTTTTTCGTTTTTTAATCGTTTTGTTTGTTCATAATGCAATTTATAACAAGCACTATCTTTCATTCCTGAATAAAAGAAAGCAACAAGTTAATGTGAGTGATATTTACATCCTCAATAACACAACCAGTGTGTGTATATTCAATATTCAGTTTTTTAGATGAGCTCGTGGGCTTTGCACACTTCTTACTGCTCCTTTTAAAGGCAATGCCTCCCTTTACTAGACAAAAAGTAGTCTCCTTTCTCAACGGGTTTTTTTTTTTTGGCCCTTTCAGTATGGGTGACCAAAAGTTCCAAAATGAATCAATAAATTTTGGTTGAGTTTTTTTGTTTTGTTTTTTTTAAGGTAGTTTACCAATTACCACCTCATGAATGTTCATGTTAGGGTCAGAACAGTGACAGATCTTTGAAAATGTTTCCCCTACCATGGTCTTTGTGGATAAAAGTGCCTTTTTTAGGGTAAGGCCTATGTTTGTAGGACCTGCTAAGACATCCAGTAACACAAAAGAGACTAATTATATAATGTAGTTTGCAGTTCTCTTTCAAAGTAGGCATTTTAAAACCTCACCCCATCCATAAAATATAATCTTCAGGACTCTATTTCTCCGTAAGCTCCTTTTACCCTGTAAATAGACGTTAAGAGTTTGTTTGGGAAAATGTAATTCTAGATTTATTCAAATAGCCTGAACTGAATCTTCTTTAAGATGTTATATATACAGATTTTTTTTGTATGCCACTAATAAGCAGTCGAGCAGCTACTCTTAGGATCATGGTTTGTTTGTTTGCTCAGTTTTTATTTTTGTTTTTTTGGGTTTTGTTTTTGTTTTTTTGCTCTTTTAGTTTTTTTCTATTCAGTTTTTGTTTTCTGTTTTGTTTTGCTTTGTTTGCATAGGTTTCTATGTTTTATGTTGTTGCTTTTGTTGTTTCTTTTTCAGCATAGGCTTGCGACTCTGGTGACGCAGGTATAGTTTTGATTAATTAGGAAAAAATCAGACTTTTTTTCAGTCTGCGACCTAAATAACATAGTTACAGTTAATGTAAGAATCGATACTCTCTAGGTCTAAAAGAACAAAATTCTCACAGAACTGTTTATGTCAGTCTGACTGCAAGGTCGTATTGACTAAACCTTAATTCTTTAATAATTTAAGATGGCTCTGAATCGAATGTGTACATCTATTTTAAAACAAACAGCAGTAAAAGGCGGTCTCATCCTTCAAAGCGCTTCGTTTTGCAAGAGTCCTGGCTATTTCGACCTTTTTTCGCTCTTAGTTTGTTCCAGAACTAGAGCAAAGAGTTGGCGCGTTAAACGCTGTCCTGAATCTGTTCTTGCTCTCCAAAAGTCGCGTTAGTTGTTCTTAGCGTCTCGAATTGTGTTTGAATTTCAAGAACTTCGTTTTCATTCTCAACGTCTTTCTTTTCCATTAGCTTCATTTGCATTTCAAGAACTGTCTTTTTTAAGACTTCGATTTCATTCTCAACGTCTCTCTTTTCCTTTAGCTTCATTTGCATTTCAAGAACTGTCTTTTTTAAGACTTCGTTTTCATCCTCAACCTCTTTCTTTTCCTTCAGTTTCATTTGCATTTCAAGAACTGTCTTTTTTAAGACTTTATTTTCCGTCTCAACGTCTTTTTTTTCCTTCAGTTTCATTTGCATTTCTAGAACTGTCTTTTTTAACACTTCGATTTCATTCTCAACGCCTTTCCTTTCCTTTCTTAAGGCACGAACTTCCTCTTTTAAAGCTTCCTGGTTACTTTCAAGTGTACTTAATCTGTCACAAATGTTATCCTGTCCATCTCGTCGTTCTTTGATTTCCTGATTCTGATTTAACTCCAACTTGGACTGTCTAATGTTAAGTGAGTCCACTTCCACTCTTAGTTCAGACTTGAATGACTCAAGTGCTTCACTTATCTGAAGCTGAACCTCCTCGCTCAACGTTCCTCTCAAATCAGTAAAGGTTTTGGAGAAAGCCTTCACCTCCTGCAAAGAGTCGCGAAGAAAATCGGGGACATCTAGACTCCCAAGACAAAAAACCGTTCCTGTTAAGATATGTTAAAAAGAAGTTAGTCATCAATTGGTTGATGTAGAGTTTGCCAAGTTTAAGATAAGTGTACTTCATATATGACGAAGCTGCACATAGCAACTAACTTTACCTCTTTCTTCGTCTTGTAATATTTTTGTTTGGTCATAAAGCAGTTTAGAACGGGTGAAAGAGGTAACCTGTCCTTCCGCGTACGATTCGTTTCGCTAACGACCATTTCGCTAACGTCTTAGGTCGTTTCGTCATAATCTTAGAGCAATTCGTTAACGTATTACAAAACGTTTAGTGATTCTATCGGCAGAACTTGATCAACTTCTAATCGACCGAAAATTCGTGGTGGGAGTTAGTCGTTTTAAGGAAAAACTGAAAGTCAATTCGCAGGTCGCTGTCAAGCTCCCGGCTCAAGATTTCTGCGCGCTTTAACGTCTCAGGTTGCTCTCAATAACAGTAACAGTGACTTATAGGAGAAAAGATAATTTCTTGTAACTCAAGTTTGTAGTAAGTGTCGGTATTTACGAACATTTACTAGACTACATTCAGTGTGTTAGGGTAAGTTGTTCTTTAACATATAAAACAAACTAAAATTGCTAATTAAAACTAAAGAGACGACACTGAAATAACCCAAAACGTTAGCGAAACGACCTATGAGACGTTAACGAACTGACCTAAGACGTTGGCGAAACAGCTGACGACGTTAGCGAACTGGCCATTAGCAAAAGGTGGTGTTTCTTAGTAAATGACAGAGGCATACTCCGAGAAAAAAAAACTCCCAGGGCTCTCAATGGGAGTCGAACCCACGACCTTTCGATTAGTGATTCAAACGCTCTACCACTGAGCCATATGAGACTCGTGACAAGCTAAATCGTTTAATTAGGTCCATTACAGGCAGCCTGCAATAGGTTATGCCTATATGGAACGAAACTGGAACAAAGTAATCCTTCTAATACCAACATGAAGTTATACAATAATTTAAATAAAATGTATAATCGCTAACTGTATTCCAAGTTACAACTTAACAAATATGAACCAAAGCTATCTCTGATGGCGAAGTCAGGGGATCCTTTACATGAGCAACGCAATAAATTACACTTTTTGACGCGAGTGGATCCTTAACGAACGAAACCCTTTCTCCGCCTCATTATAAGTAGATATCGATTGCCAAGAGAGGTAGAGGCTGCTCTACCATCAATTCAACAATTATGTTTCTTTTTAAGCTACCCTAACATACCATGCTTTTTCCACCACTGTAATCTTTGCAGGATCTGCGTGTTATCCGTCCAATCAGGAAATTCCACCGATATATGAGAAACCAAATCCTTCAGGAACCTGAAGCAATCAGTATAATACTTATTTGTCCATTTAGTAAAGTCTGGATGTGCCCATTCCGTGCGCACGTTAAAGTTAACGTCTTTTGCTGACTTGGTAACACCAGGCCTGAATAATCCTTCGTAGGAGAGCACGGCCAAGGCAGCTGAAGTATCGAAGGAGTCATCGAATGCAGTGAATTTTGCCATGAAAGGTTGAACAAAAAGCTTAGCCAAAGACACTGCATCCTCAACTTTGTAATCGAAGTTTTCAGGGTCTCGGTGGTCGTTTCCGTTTATGCTCTCGTAGTTCAGATCTCTCCTGGCTCCTGGAAAAATCTTACTCAGATATTTTGAATGGGTTTGAGTGTCTATGCGGTTCATCCGTTTCTTCGAATCGTAGACTGATTTAATTTTTTCAGCAATTATTCCTCTGAGACGTGGAATGACGACAATATGGAGACATATACTTGTAACTAACCAACGTCGCTTATCCTGGGACGCTTCCGCAGAGGTAGGAGCCATCTTTCTTTTTATAAAGCTGGCAAATGTTCTCTTTGAAAACTTCTATGGGAAAAATAAACGTGCATATTAAAATGAAAATATGTAATTTGATTTCTTTACTGTTGAAAGAGTTGCTGTGGTTTCTGTAGGTTGTTTTATAATAATAATAATAATAATAATAAAATTATAGTAACTGTTAAACGAAGGACAATGGAATGAAAATTCAAAAAGAAGCAAAAGAGGAAAAGTCAGAAATCAAGGTTCCGTGCGTCGTAATAATATCTGAAACGGTTTAGATGAACTTTAAGTAATTTCAAAACAATTTCTTTCGTTTTATTTTTCCTGTTTCTGATGACGTAAGGACTACGGATAAAATGAACTGCGTTAGGCGCCTGCGGTTCCCTTGCAATGCATTCGTAAATAATCAGTAAATTGCAAATTTGGTACGGCATAATGTCATTGGTGAATGTAGTGTGATGTTGATAAGTGCTTTGCAATTTCAGCCATCTCTATTAGTCCAAGGGTTTAATTTACATGACACGTGGACAAAAAAATAAAACTTTTCTCGCGAAATCTAAATTAAAACATTGGAATCCCTTTCATTGTTCAACTGTGAAGCCATCAAGTCATATTGAAAGCATGGCACTCAGTTAGAAAATCATTAGAAGACGCGGATCCTCCTCTCTTGAGAAACCTCGCGTCTATTAAGAACGTTCTTGAGGCAAAATGACTGTGGGATAGTTAATTTGATTTTAGTGCTCCATGCATGCGACAGGCAGAAACATATCATGTCTGAACCAACCAGCGATTCAAAATTTATAATTGGTATAATTGCGCGATGGAAATTTGAATCAACAGGAAATCGCAGCTGTATGAATAATAAAGATTGTTCCTTGGAACTATAATGAAGAGTTTTGTCTTTCTAAAACAGCAGCGTAAATGTCCAAAACATGAAGCGTTGTTCGCCCGTAATTTTTTCCAATAGTCTCATTATATTATCGAATCACGTCATGTTTTGATATTGCCATCTGTTATGAGAAATTTAGCTACAAAGAGTAAATTCAGGATATTAATGGAATACTAACTTAAAGATGATGTCGTTCTGTTAAAGTCTAAGAGTTGAGTTTATTTTGAAGGGACTCGTCACGATTGAAATCATTACGGAAGTACTTCTAATTTAATTTCACTTGTCACATATGTCAACTAAATCAAATATGGTAGATGAGGCGCTTATTCACTCTGCCGCTCGGCGAGCGCTTCTCGCGCTTTGAGTCAAAGAGCAAAAAGCGCTCGCCGACAAATAGCGTTTGTTACGCGAGTTTTAATAGTTAAGATCAAGAGGCTGGCTTTTCGGGCGATAAGCTCGAGAATATTAACGAAAAAAGTCGTATGCAGTGCTTTTCAAGCGAGAAAAACATGATTAAACTAATGATTATTGATCCAAGGCTAAGCCTGTAGCAGGCTTTTGCATAATTTATTCACACTAGACGAAATAATAACAACGTATTATCCATCTGCCCTTCGACTTGACTATTTTCATGGACTTGTAAAGCTAGTATGCGTACAGAGTTGAAATTGAGGATTAGGAATCCATTCGAGGTGTATGATGTTGACAAATTCCATTCCGTTTCTCATTTACTTTTTCATGGTGGAATGATTTAGATTCTGCTGAATGAATGACTACAATTTTGTTTAATTAATTGAAAGTACTGTTAAAATACATAATTTCAACATAGATGCAACATTCAAACTTTGCTGCTTATAAGCGACTCTTAGAAATCGTTGTTTAGCTTGACTATTGAAGGCCACATGGATTTAGGTATAGCATTATACATTGTTCACTCCACTCTTTTAGGACGAACAACTACGTATACATGATGCATACCAAAGCTAGACCGATAAATGAAAGTTATACGATTTATAACATGATCTGAAGTCACTCGTTTTCAGTGGGCGATCACAGATGTACCCTAAAGTTACTACTGGTTTTCCCCAAGCGATGGCAATGGGCTACTGCTTTCGCCGAGAAGTCTAACTTTTCCATGCTCGTTTCTTTTCTCCCTCGTTTCGCTCCAATCAAATTTGTTATGTTCCGAAGCAAAGTCGTGTGGAAATACGAAAGAAACAACGGCACAGATTTCCCAAAGTTTACCTGACTCGAAGACGAGCAGTCATCTTGTTGCAGCTCGAAAAATGTTTCCCGTATAGGAAAACCTCTCCTTTTTCAATCAACCTCTTAGAACTGATACAGAAACCTTCCAGCACGAGAAAAGCGATTAAACGCTTCTTGAACAGGAGTTCTACGCAATGAATGAAATATATGGCTATTCGGAAAGCTTTAAGTTGCTTTGCAATCGACGAAAGTAGCTGGTTGGAGTAGATGCGGAGAAGGCGAACTTTTGTAACCAACCGCTCTATTCCATCCTCGTTTACTCCCTCGATTCGTTCAAATCAAATTTGTTTTGCTCTAAAGCAAAGCCGTGTCGAACTACGAAAGAAAAATTTTTTAATCGGAATAACACGGCACAGATTTCTCAAAGTTTACCTTTCGCCGAGAAGTCGAACTTTTGTATCCCACCGCTTTGTTCCATGTTCGTTTCTTTTCACCCCCCTTTCGTTCCAATCAAACTTGTTATGTTCCAAAGCAAAGCCGTGTGGAAATACGAAAGAAACAACAGCACAGATTTCCCAAAGTTTACCTGATTCGAAGACCAGCAGTCATTGCAGCCGGCTCGACAAATGTATCTCGTAGGGAAAACTCTCCTTTTTGGCTCGACCTCTTAGAACTGATATAGAAACCTTCTAGCACGAGAAAAGCGATTAAACGCTACTTGAATAGGAGCTCTACGCAATAAGTTAAATATAAGACTGTTCGAAAAGCTTTAAATCGCTTTTCAGGCGACGAAAGTGGCTGGTTGGAGTCAGAGCGGAGAAGGCTTGTTGAAACGCCGATGCAATGTTATCGTTTGTGCTGTGCGATATCGTCAAAGTTGAAACACCTCAGTTTTTTCACGTGTTTAGCTCACATTTAGACATAGATCAACAAATCATCCAGAATCGACCTTTAAAACAAATGCCATAAAGAAAACGAAGGTTGACTTACCGAGTAAAGAGCTTGGTCTGTTTTTTTTGTTAGGATGCAGAGTAACTTCCGCGCCCGATCTTCGCCTCGTGGGAAGACCTACTGTGATTCACTTTATCCTGGCCCAATAATTTGTGTATTGAATTCGAAGTTACCAAGGATTTTCCGGCCGCTTGTTGCTTCAATAAGGGTAATTTACTAGATGAAACCTCAGGTTACTAGATAATATACGTAATATACGCTTTCGAATCGAACGTATTTATGGCATCGTCATTGTCTGGCTGATTTCTTGGAAGGAGTGTCTCTCGATTACGTCACGACTCACGATGGGCTCCAGGTTTGACCGAGCAGAAAATGCCATGGTTGTTGCAGTACTTCTATATAGCCATAATGTACCACTCGTAGAGAGGCAAAACGGCTGGCCTTGTGAGTGTTTTCCTGTGACCTATTTCTGATAAAGTGAAAGGTACCTTAAGGAAAGAATCGATACTATAAAGCAGCATTGGAGGTACAAATATAAATAACATTGATCGCATTACTAAATAGAATGTGCAAAAATATTCTAGATCTCATTCAGTTTGATTGCACTTTTAGAGCAGGTCGCATTTGTCCATACACAATACTTTAGACACTTCAATGGAACTTCGTTGCATGACAAGCAACGCTGGTCCCCAATGCTAGGTGGATTAATGAATAAAGGGGGTAAGTTTCTAAAGAAACCGTGGTGCGACAATGGTGGGAGAGTATAACAGGGAATTAAATATCAACTGAGGTGATAACGTAAATTGGCCTCCGTAGAGAGTTTTAAAGCTGACGTTTCGAGCGTTAGCCCTTCGTCAAACCTGCCTAGGTGGGTGATATTGTTGGAGCTGATGTAAATTCAGGATATAATGTGGCAAATTGAACTGAAGATGGGGATATTTCTTCAATTGGGCTAGATTTAACACAAGGATAGAAACCGACTTCAAATAAAAAAAGTCATGTAGACAGTGAAAAACATTAAAATAGTTTTTCAAATTATTTTTTGGCTTTTTTTTCGGTTTTCGCATAAATTGGTTTCGAAATATAGTTGAAACTGAATTGGCCTTAGAACAAAATACTATAGTGGAAATAAAAAAAAGGTAATTTTAAGTTGACAGATCAACGATGTGCCTTCCCAAAGTCGAAGGACCACAACAGGAAGGAGTCGCAGTCTTTTGGGATTTTGAAGGGATCCCGAAACAATAGCCAATTCGAGGCTGAGATTTCAAAGCATGGAGATATGTAGTCAACAATTGCTCTATTACTGATAAACTTTAAAAACTTAGGAGAGACGTGCGGACAAGATCATTATTCCTAATTAGTTGCGATCAAGAAGCCAAAGCAAACCTCAATCCTGTCGCGGAAATAAATTGGATTGGGAATGATAGGATAGTGAGAAATCATTATGGCCTCCGCCCAGCAGGGGTGAAGATAAATGAGTTAGTCCAGGAGCCCATTAATGGTGACGGGTAATGGGCTCCTGGCTAAGCGTTAAGTCAAGGAAGCGCAACATAAAAGATTTGCCTTAAAAATTAAGGGAAACATTTCTGAAGATTACCATTAAAAATTTTCGTCTCTGAAAGAAACGGCCATACGACCGTTGGTATCAACAGATGGTAATCTCTTGAAGGCACAAACATTGTTCTTGACACAAGTCTTTCAGGTAAAATTGAAAATCAACGATACTATATGTTTCCAGTTTCGACACTTACGACTATTTTGAAATCTCTCCACAATGATTAATCAAGATTCGAATGTACCTCTCTAATTTTCAATTACTTCCAATCCGCAACAGTTATGGTCACTCTTCGTTAGGCTCTACAGTTCCTTGTGGGTTCCACGATTCCTTAATTTATTGCAGATACTAATCGAGCCGGCCTGGGAAATAGCGTGTGACGCCTGTCATATTTTATTTTGTTGTCCCAACCAACGATTCAAAACATTGAGACGCTGTGGTTCTGCATTTGAACGAAATCTTACTCTAACTGAACAGATCTCAATACAGCCTCGAAGCAAGGTGTGGATAAGGAAGATACCGATGAACAAACACTGTAAGAATCCAAACTGAACCTGCAGACATCCAGAATGCCACACGGAGCAGCTCGGTACAATCCAATTTTCCAAATCTGGAGAAGGCTGAAAAGAATGGGAATAATTTCGCCAAAAGGTTTTATCCTATCGATCATTTTCTGGAGTCTTTTCCTGACCTTTTCGTATTACGCTTACCTGGAAGTTAACAATAACCTCGCCAAATTACGGGTGCATAAAGTGACATTAGCCAAGTCGCTCATGGTACAAATTAACGAGACATTGTTTAACGGCCGTCAAGAAGAGGCTCTTCGATTGTTCAAGAAATACGCGAAATGGAACTCTAGTTTGGAGGATTTAGTGAAATTTGTGAAAAGAAATGCTTAGAACATCATTTTTAAGCTCTGGTTATTCATCGTTTGGAAGGTAACAAAAAGTGATCAGTGAACGTGCAATTGATCGGAAATATAGTGATGTTTGTCGAGGAAGGATCCAAGAAGTAGATTATTTGAAACTGCCTTATACTTCTTACACCCAATGTCTTAATTACCGAAATAATGTTGACTATCTATGTGTGACTTATTAAAGTATTCATTTCTTTATATGTGTATTTAATTAATTTGAGGAAAACTGCTGCACATTGGTGACCACTTAATGACTGTAGGCTAAAGAATGTAGACTATTTTTTGGTAGCAATTGAATTAAATTTTTCACATTAATGATCTCAAAAAGTTAAAATTGTGAATTAAGTAACATAGTGCACTCAGTGTATCTAATCAACATTGTTAATCTGAAGAAATGACATACATGAATAGGGAGTGCAAGTCAGCAGGTAATTAAGCAACTAATAATAGGGAAGGTATGGTGGATCTTTAAGCTGTCAACCACTGTCAAAAGGTAGTGTCTAACCCTAACCCTAAGGCACACTTTTGAAGTGCAAGTGTGTGACATGTGAAAAGGAAATGAATTGGCTGGTACAAACTACTGATGGCAACAAAGAAACAACTCAGTGGATGTTTGCAGTTTATTACTGCTGTTCAAACAAGATGGGTTACATCTGCTTTACAGAAAGTAAAATTAAGATGAAAGGATTTTATTTTGCAGCTGCAAATCACAAATATCTTTCATTCCTGAAGAAGAGAAAACTACAAGTTTATATGAGTGATATTCACATCCTTTAGATACTGGCACTGTGTGTATTAAATATTCAGTTTTTCAGGTACGTTTGTGGCTCTGCACAGTTCCTACTGCTCCTTTTGAAGGCAATAAGTCCCCTTACCAGAGGAAATCCATAATGGAAAAACCCTAGAGGAAACTGAAAGAAAGCACTGTGACAACCAAATCCACTCTCCTCGATGGTCACAATCTTCCCACTGCTTCTGTTTTTTATCTGAATTCTACAAATGAAACTTCTCAACAATGTCACTGAGCTATTCAATGTGTTGACATTTTGTCTACAGCAGCATGCATGGTTCTGTTCCAGGATAATCTGGGAGAGACAAATTGTACTTTTGTGCTAGTGAATCAGGAACAAATCTCCCTCCAAGAAAGTGAAATCTTCCTTCAAAGTGCTTTGCACAAAGCTTAGGTGCTGTCAGAGATATGAGGAAGTCTGGTTTTATCCCATCTGGATTTCCATTTTCTACATGCCATCCTTGATGAGAAATAAATGGGATACAAATAGATAAATATGAACCTAAACAATATAATAGACAAAACTGTGCAAGAATACTTAAATTAATGCTCCCTTTACTTTGTTTTTGGTAACTCTCATTTGACATTCTGGTGGTATTTTTAATCATATGTTTGGAAGTATTTCCCTTACAACAAAGATCCCACAGACCTCAGTAAATACAAGGGCTCTCTTTGACAGATATCCTTTTCAGGTGTTTTGACAAAGATAACTTATCATATGGAACCAACATTCAAACAATCAAGGACCACACAGAAGTAATAGAGGAATGATAAGGTAATTGAAACATATCTATACTACTCTTGGATAAATAAGAGTCATTTTAAATCTTATATTTATTTTCCCACTAGTACAAGAATTATCTTAACACTTTCAAAAAATTGTATTTTTTCTACACATCAAACAAAAATAAAAAAAATAAAAAAAATAAACAATGAATAATAACAAAAATAATAATAAATAATAATAAACTATCAATAGTCTTGCAGTCCCAGATGTGCATTATAGTTTTGGCATTATTGGCTGGAAAATCTCTGAACTGAAGAAGATTGACTCAAAACATGCAAACTACTGAACATGCACAAGATGTTACTTCCTAAAGCAGATGTGGAAAGGCTGTTAACAATCCTAGAAAAGATAGAAGGGGTCTGATTGATGTAGAAACAGCATTCAAAACAGTAACAATAGGGCTCCAAGGGCAATATCCAAAGCAGATGCTTGAAGATGAAAGATCTAAAGCCAAAAATTCAATAACCAAGAAGGCTACTAAGTTCAAAAGGGAATTATAACAATGCCAGAGTTTGAGAACAGAGAGATGATTAAATCAGCCTCACAAAATGCTAAGGCCCTGAAACACATATTAAAGTTTCAGAGGAAATCCACGGAAGAAGAAAAGTGGAAAGAGGGACTGAGATAAGCTGCACTCCCAGTTTCTAGTGATGATTTTTGGAAAAAAGGTGGGGCTTATCTGTGGGTCTTTATGGTACTTGTCGCAGCTCAAGAACAGGCCATAAACACCAGAAACTACCAGGAGGTAATATGTGGCCAGCAAGTGGAGAGCATATTTATACAGATTGTGTTTGCAATATAAGAAGACAGAGGACCATACTATATCTGGATGTTAGGTATTAGTTAAAACAGAGTACATCTCCAGGCACAATAATGCTGCATTGAAGCATCTGTAAAGATCATGACATTGAGATTACAGACAAATGGTACCAACATGAGCCAAAGACTGTGACGCACAATAAAGACAAAAACATCAGGGATGTGCCAATCAATACTGACAGAACTATAACAGCAAACAGACCAGACATCCTAATTAAAGATTCAGTGAATTCCACTTGCAAACTGATTGATATGACTGTTCCATCAGATAGAAACATTGCTCTGAAGGAAATGGCAAAGAAAGCAAGTACAAAGACCTAGAACTAGAAATACAGAGAATGTGGCATATGAAAACCTAGTGATTCCTGTGGTTGTTGGTGCGCTTGGTACAGTAAAGAAGGGGATGGTGGAAAACATAAAGAAAGTATCAGAAGCAGTTACTGTGACAGAGATTCAAAAGATCTGCATTCTAGGAATTGTACAAATCCTCAGGAAGGTGCTTAATGTATGAACAGAATGACTGACTTGAGTAACTGATACCCTAGGTGCATGGTTTGCGCCCAGCTGATGCACAAAAAGAAAACCAGCAAAGACTGTGCTTGAAGAGATAATAATAATAATAATAATAATAATAATAATAATAATAATAATAAAATGAATTAATACACCATAAATACAAAGCTCTGAAAAAAATCAGTTCACATCAGAAAGAAAATAAATTTGTTTAATCTCACCTGAAGGAATATCAACTGAGCAAACAGGAATTGTAACTTCTTTTAAGGCCGATAATACATCCGCAAATGGTGGTCTTGCATTTCCCTTAAAACTAAAACCAAATATGGCATCCACAATAAACTTGTAGTCAGAATCAATCTGTGAAGGTTTTGGTATATCATCCATGAATGGTATGTCCATCCTCACACACTGCGTAACTAGATTCTTAAAAAGCTGTTTTTCTGACTTCTTCGGGTAATATATCTTTGGATTGTATCCCTATAGAAATTTAAGAAAGTAGAAAACAATGTAAACAAGTATTGATTAACATGTAACTTCTTCCTATAATATCCAAACATTATTCAGCAAACAGGTAGTGAAAATACTCAACTTATCAGGTAGGAGTTGTAGACTGTATCTTATTTACAAGGAAATGTGTAGCAGCTAAAGGGGAGAATTAACAATCAGCCATATCTAGCTATAAGAAAGCAAAAATCAAGTTTGCATTTGGTCTCAGAAGGATCAGTTATTAATCCTCAGTAAGGCAACCCTATTCTCCAAAAGACTGTTTTCAGGGATGATTTGGTGGTGTTTTAACCTTACAATTATTTTTCCCTAAAAGCTTTGGTTTTTAAGCATTCCCAAAAGACAAACAAGATTTTCAGGATTTCTAGGTAGGAGCATTATCTTAAACTAATACCAAATTCCCATAAGTAATTTACTTAGAAATGTGTAGCAGCCATAAGGGAGAATTAACAATTACATCTTGGGAGTTAACCCTTTACACCCTAACATCACTATGCATATTCTCTATACTGTTCTCCATACATTTCCAAAGGTGCTGACAAGGAAAATTTCTTTAGCAATCAAAAGCCTTTTTAGATGGTGATCATTTCCTTTATTCTTGTGACCTTAATGTTTGATTCAGGGGGTGATATTGTAAGGAGAAGTTAGATGCTCGTCACTCTTCAGGGGTTAAAGGGTTTATAAAACAGAACCAGTTTGGGGGTTCAGGCTCATATTATTTTTATGTCACCTTATGACAACCTTTACAATCATAACCAGTTCCCAGAGATTAAATTCTGGTTACCAAAACAAAAAGGAGGACTCTGTCTAATATAACATGTTGCAATAAACTACATGCCACACTGCCTGTGTTTGGAGTAAGCAGTGTGGCTGGTATCATTTTTTAGGAGATTTATGCTTAATACTTGGGATATTGGGGAGTTAAAAAGAGAAATGGTAATTTCTGCAGAAGAAAACATTCTATGGCTGATTAGCCTGTCTGTTCTCACAACTTATTTGCAAAATAATCTTTTGACGTCCCATGAGCAACCAAAGAGGAATTTACATCATAAATACATTTTTAAACAGAAAGTTTGGTGAGGAGAAAAAAAAAACTCAAAATGTCTATTGCTTGATTTAACTTTAAATTCTAAGGAAGAACATTGCCAGAAATGCAAAACAGAAAATGTACACAATTAGGGTAATTTAATATTATCAACTGAGTTGATATATTAACTTGGCCACTGTTGAGAGTTACACAGCTGACATTTTAAGCATTAGCCCTTCATCATTTGCTCTGACAAAGGGCTGATGCTCGAAATGTCAGCTTTGTAACTCTTTACAGTGGCCAATTTATGCTATCAACTCAGTTGATAATACTTAATCCCCCTGCTGTGCTCTCCCACCAACGCAGCACCACAGTTTCTTTCGAAGGTTACCCCCTTTAATGCAGAGAATTAACTTTTTGATATTGAAGGTGAAAGGGCCGGAGCAAAAGGTAAAGGAAATTTAGTGGCAATTTGTTTCTTCTTTGGCCAACTTTAAGTTGATAATTGAATCAATAATTAACTAAAGGACCCAAAGCACCAAAATAATTTAAGAAATTTAAAAAACATTGTAATTCTATGGCTATCAGATAAACTTTCTCAACAACACCATTAGACAACTAAACAAAAAAAAAACGAAGGCTGCATGATAAGTGACATTTTGTTCATTTAGAGATGAACATGGACACGAAACCTGAATGAGCTGAAATTTGGCCGAATTACTCAAGGACAGGCATGTAATCACGGTATATAGAATCAAATAACTTACCATGCGAGCTGAATTTGAGATGGAATTTAGTCAAACTAGAGCCAATAGACTCATGGGCGAGAAACATATCTTATTTCAGACTTAACTTACAAACAATTTGAGATGCCTGGCTGCTACCAATCCGTCCCCTCCATTATTTCCAGGTCCACTACATATAAGAACATTTGGATGATCTTGTCCTCTGGGGTAAGCCTTGGTCAGTGCTACAGCCACACTCAGTCCTGCGAGCTCCATCAGCTGATCTACACTAAACGAATACTCATTAAATAACTCTAAATCTATATTTTGAGCCTCTTCTTGGCTCAAGTACTTCATAGTCGTTCCAACTGTACAAAATCTCCTAAACAAGCCAGCAGGAACACTAAAGAGAGAATGGATTCGAAAGAACATCAGCAAAGATACTCCACTTATGAGTCCTAGGAGCACGAACGCCGTCCATTCCATGCCCGCGATCCATTCAATTAAGCAGCGGTGTTTGATTTAACCATTTCCAAACATATTTGTTATGCGTCACGCCGCAAGTAATGATTTTCATAGTGCCGACTCATTTGCCATTTTTATCTTGTTTTAATTCTCTGTTCTAGAAAACCGTTTCCCTGATGGATCCTCACGAACCACATCTATCTCAAAAAACCTCGATACCGAAGTGACCTTTATGGCGCTTATGCGGCGGCTGTGGCATCACGGTTTGCGAGGAGGCTCTTTTTGGCGTTATCGCCCATGAATCTCGCGCGAGTTGGTAAGGAGTAGGAGGTAGGAGGGGGATGGGAGAGAGAAAGCAGGGAGGAGGTGGCAGTACACTGCGTGGGTCTGGTCGTTATTCCTGTATAATGTGACAGACCCTAACCTTAACTATATGACTATATAATAAAGGATACGGACGCACGAGCCTGTAAACTTGCCCATTCCATTCCATTTAGGCCTCCAATGCTATCCTTTCAGATGTAGATTGGTGAAATTCAGTAAGATAATATCCTGAGTCCACTGAAATTAAAATAGTATCCATTGTGAAAGACTAGTGAAAGATGCTGAGTAAGTAAGAGGTGTGGGTGGAGTTCAGTTGATGACGAAGTCAAACAAAAGGGTTACTTCAGCGGACAAAATAACTTTTGTAAAGAAGTTCAAGTGTACATCAAAGCAAAAAAAAACATAAGGCAACGTGGCAAACATGACAAAACCTATGGTGACAGCGTGACGAAAGGGAGGAGCTGGCAGTACACTGTGTGGGTCTAGCCACTAATCCCGGCTGCATAAAAAGTGACAGACCCTGACCTCAGCTATATGACTATGTAATAAAGTAAGTAGACGCATAAGCTTGTAAACCTCCAAACCGAGTCTTGCCCATTCCACTCTATTTAAACCTCCAGCGCTATCTCTTCAGATGCAGATTGGTGAAATTCAGCGCGAAAGTATTTCATGCAAAGCCACTGAAGTGAAAATAATACCTTATGAAAAGACTAGTGAGAGATATTGAGTAAGTGAGAGTTGTGGGTGGAGTTCAGTAGATGACGAAGTCAAACAAAAGAGTTACTCCAACGGACAAAATAACTTTTGTAAGGAAGTCAAGTGTGCATCAAAACATAAGTCAACGTGGCAAAACATGACAAAGCCTAAGGTGACAGCGTGACATGACACGACATGACATGACAGAAAAGTGACGCCTCCGCAGTTATTCAAGATAAAGCACAAGAACGCTCAACGCCTAGCTACATTCGTACTCCAACACTTTCAGCAGTCAGTTTTTGAAGAGGTGTTCTCTTTGCAGAAGTCACGTGTGCATCAAAACAAAACAAAACATAAATCAACGTGGCAAAACATGACAAAGCCTAAGGTGACAGCGTGACATGACATGACATGACAAAAGTGACGCCTCCGCAATTATTCAAGATAAAGCACACCAACGCTCCACGCCTTGCCACATTCGTGCTCAAACGCTTTCAGCATTCAGTTCTCGAAGGGAGGCTCGGAGGCGTTCTCTTTGCAGCATATTGAACAGTCATACCTACAGCTTGCAATAAAGGTAATATTAGCACTTTGACATTATCTTAAAATTTCGTATTTGGAAGTTTCATATCTTTATTATTTCTCAAGCGGTGAACTCGGTCAAACTGATCGAATTTAAACTGCGCTTGGGTTCAAATGTTAAAATTAAAATAGTTTCCCCTGTGTGGAGTGTATTTTCACCATATGAAGCTGAATTTGCACGGCAAAAAAAGTCTTCTTGGCATTGATGATCTGCTTCTGCAAAAATTGATGCGTAGGTAGATTTGCTTTCTTGCTTTGTTTTATCAAAGGTAAACTAATCATTACTAGACATCTAATTTATTTGCATGAAATCTCTTTAGCTAATAATTCGCTTTAGGCTCCATTGCTCCTTCTGGCATTTTCCAAATGACCTACAATTTCTCACGCGACTACTCTTCGTGCAAAAATCTCAATGTAAATATAATCTTTGTGCAAATATATTGCATATTTTTTTCTGGATTTTTAAATATCTGGGGCTTGCTTGCAATGAGTACATTGAAACGCATAACAAACAGTTATTTAGTCATACATTTTTGTTATTGCAAATAAGTGTCTCTAAGAGCTTTATTTTATTACTATTCTTGTACTCTTTAAGCACTAGGCGTTTGTCGGAGTCAATTATTCCATCGAATGCTAAAAGGCCCGAAATGTCGGCCATTAAAAACCAATACGGCCGTTTCCCTTCCTTGGTCGAAATGTTTCACTCGCTCACCGACTCAGCACAACAGCTTATTTGGATATTGGTAGCTTCTGAATAAATTGTTGTCAGCCTGACATGAAAGACGTCTATTGTAATGAAAATATCCTGATCGCGGCAATCATGCAATGGTCTATGGATGATATTAATTAAAAATACGTCTATAAAACGTAAACTGCTTCTAGTTAAGGTAATTAGGGACTCTCTGGTCATGTCACTGCGTCAATCTACGGAACAATCGTTGCTGGCGATTAATCAGTGAAAGGTTTTGATTATAAGTTTTTATAGGGGGAACACAAATCAAAGTTTAGGTAAAGATATCTGTACCTCTTACAAAACATTTAGCGAAATTATCAGATACCTACAGTCTAAAGAACAGAATAGCTTATTCAGTCATCAGTACATTCTAGTTGTTAAGGGCACAATCTTATTTTCTCTAGACTGATGTTATCTTGCGTTAACATGCTTTAGTTGGCCTACCGGTTGGTTGTACGACTCGACTGTTGTAATTTGACCTTTGATACATACGATGGCGTTACGCGTCTATTGAAATCACTCCTGCACAATTGTCGATAACCAAACCTTTCCGAACAACACAAAGTCGACAAGCGTGGCTTTCCGAACAGCACACGGTCGACAAGCGTAGCTTTCCGAACAGCATGCAATCAAAAAGCGAACCTCTCCGACAACACGCGGTCGACAAGCATGGATTTCAGAGCATCACGCGGTCGACAAGCGTGGCTTTCCGAACAGCACATGGTCGAAAAGCCCGACTTTCTGCCCTAAGAAAAGCTTGTCTCAATCAAAAGCAATTGCAAGTACAGTGAGCGGCTTTTTTTTCACCGATAGCAACTAGGCGGATGGAATATCTCTTACGGCATCCCCTCTTAACAATATATGATATTGACAATAATATGATAACAATAATGAGTTGAAATGATACAAATTTTTCATTCTTTTAGGGACTTTTGTTCCTCCAAAATCCCGTCTTCCCCACTGTAAGCCTAAAGATTACTGATTGATTTTGGTGTGTTTTCTCTTAATTCTTTTTGCATAGCTTGCACAAGACGTACTATCATGGCTTATGAAGGATACACCACTTTTAAAGTAGAGATCAAGGAAGGTGTGGCGTGGGTTACATTTGACTTTCCTCCAGTGAATGTCCAAGGAAAGCCGATGTTGGACGATCTCAATCGTTTGGCCGAAACTTTGGAACCGGATCGCTCCATCAAAGTCGTGGTATTTCAGTCTGCCCATCCTGACATTTTTGTATGCCATGCAGATATCGTCATGTTAACCGAGATTCCGGCTAAAGAACGCTCCATGGACGAACCTTTACTGTACCTGCAGCAGGTGCTACAAAGGATCAGTGCTCTCCCTCAGGCGACTATTGCCAAGGTAGAAGGAATGGCCCGCGGAGGTGGTCACGAATTCATGCTGGCTTGTGACATGCGTTTCGCCGCCAGGGGGAAGGCAGTTTTCATGCAAATGGAGGTCGGTATGGGCATAGTTCCATGCGGCGGGGGAACGCAACGACTTCCACGCCAGGTCGGTATGGGTCGAGCCATGGAGATTATCCTAGGGGCGCATGACTTTGATGCTGACTTGGCAGAACGATACGGAAGCATCAACCGAGCGCTGGACCCAAACGAAATTGGGCCATTTGTGGAAGAGCTGGCTAACCGTATAGCTAAGTTCCCTGCGGGTTCCATTACAGCGTGCAAAAGGAGTGTTCTGGCTGCTGTTGAAACTCCGATTGAAGAGGGCCTAAAGATCGAGGCATACCAGCTAGGACAAGCCATGTCCACGACCCCTGGAGCTAAAAGATTTGCTTTTGGAAAGGAACAGGGCATCCAGGATGATTTGGAAACCCAGAAGAACTGGGACAAAGGAGTTATGGACATACAAGCAGTTCAATAACTAAGCATTTTTCTTTAGCTGAGTTTGCATAGAAAGACTGTCTTCACCAATATGTAGGTTCTGATTACATTTGAACTAGGAAATAACAGCTGCAGTTAAATGTATTGTAAACATGATTTGGTATGTCTATCGATTATCTTTGTCCATGTCAGTTTCCTTTTCCTTCGGCAATGGAATATTAAAGTTTGGGCATTGCAGGACGAAAACCTGTTTGCTGGTGGTCTCTTTAACAGGTGCACTTAGATGAGTAAAGAGTCTTCTTTAATTCTTTCACCCCTCACTGACAGTGACTGGCAAATAATTTATCCTTAAAATAGCACTCCCCGCCGAGACAAGCACTAAGGTCATAAGAATAAATAAAATGATCACCAACTTGAAGAGCCCTTGATTGTTAAACGTATTTTCCATGTTCGTACCGTGGGAACTGTGGGAAATGTATGGAGAGAAAATTGGAACATGCATACTGTTGTTAAGTTATGAATGATTAAGAGTTGTCGGTGAATGCCGTGAGGCATTTGTTTAGAGTGAAACACACTTTCTACTCTTCAACCTCAAATTACTTCCTTTCAACATAGTCTAAAATTGCAAAATAATGAATGGAATCGATGACAATTTCATCCATAGATCAGTGAACACGGCTAGGACTCCTCAGCTTTTTAAATCGTTGGATACGGCTTTTGTAACAAATTTCTATCATACACATTAAAATTAAAACCAAAACAAGAAACCCCCAAGGGTCGTTGGCTCGAGGTTCGCATACTTCGAAAACTTTGTTACTTTTCTTTTTTTTAGTAAATTTGTTTGGGTGTCCTGTTTTTGGTTTTAGGTTTTTGTTTTTGTTTCTGTTTCTGATTTTCTGTTTTCTTTTTCGTCTGTTTTTTAGACGAATGAAATAAAGGATTTCAAGAAAGAAGACTTCATAAAATAGTCTTTTCATTGAGGGGAATATTTTAACAGGCCTCCGCTAGCCTTCATTGATGGGAATATCTCAAGACGCCTCCGCCAGCCTAATCACTCATCTGCATTCCTGATGATCTCCACTGTAGCATTCACAAATTCGCACCTCGGGCACCATTTGAGGTCCATTCTATCAAGGTTAGCTCGGTATCATGAAACAAGGATAATAAGTCTAGAAAAAGAATAAGGAACAAGCAAAAAGAAAGTTAGAGCATGCAATTTCGAGTTTGGCCGAGTATCGAGTCCTCATAATAGTCTCAGATTTTCCCGTGTTCCCCGCTCGTTTTGATACAACCATCTAACATCTTTTTTATAACGATGCAGAGTGATCTTTAAACTGAAGCAGGAGTAAAAGTCGTTCGTAAGTAGTTAAAGATATCTGTGTGTTTGGAACAGATGTACAAACATGCATATTGCTTAACTCTCTTCATGGCCTCGACTTGTATTCTAAATAAATATCAAACTTTTAAATATATTCATAATTTGTTGTAAAAGGATCATCTGATCAAATAGTAAAAGTAGCTAGTATAGCATGATCAGGGAAGGAAAGATATCAAACCGAAGATGCGTTTTTCAAAATGAGCTTTTCTCTCAAGAGGCTAGTTTTCTACATGCAACATTTGCTTTTTTCTCGTCAACAATTTTCAGATAATTTTTTAAACCTATTTCTATGAATAAAAACTTAACAATTTAATTGCAAATCAAAATCATTTTAATCATCCATTCTTCATGAAAGTCCTTGAAATTGAATGCGTTCTTTCTCAGAGTTCAATTGA